CCCTAAATCCTCGAGGACGAGGCGCTGCTTGTCCGCCCGGAGGGCGCCCTCGAAGACCCCTGAGATGTACTGTGGCAAGACCAACCTTGGCTTTTAGGGTTTAGGGTTCAGGGTTTAGGGTTTAGGGTTTAGGGTTAGTAGGGATCAGGGCTTGTAGGGTTTAGCGTGTAGGGTTTAGGGTCAGTCGGGTTCAGGGTTTAGGGTTTAAGGTTTAAGGCCTTCGGGTTTAGGGCACTGGGATTAGGGAGGGCTTCAACCAATGAGGTGCAGCATAAACATCTGCCGGCCAAATGGTCCTTGGGGAAGGCGCCGCTATTCTGGGAGGAGAGTCTGGGAACCCTAAACCCTAAACCCTAAACCCTCAACCCTAAACCCTAAACCCTCGGGTCAAGTTGTTTCAGTTTGCCATCAACTGTTTGAGTGAAGAGCTCTTGCTGCTACTCCGAAGCTCTTCGCAAAGAACCTGGGAATGAATCCATAAGGCAAACTAAAAGTTATGTGGGGACATAAGGTACCACTTTCCCCGATTCCTGACTTACAGCGGGTAAGACGGTTTAGGGTTTAGGGTTAGGGTTTAGGGTTTAGGGAGTGGCCCAATGCAAAGCCCGTCTCCAAGCCCCGCAGCAGCACATGCGAAGGCCCTTGAGTGGATTTAGGGGCCCCGTAACAAACAAGTTCTAAGGGGCTAGCTTCTCTATCTCTCTCTCTCTCTATATATATATATATACTGGGTTGCCCAGTAACCTGGGAGTAAAAAGGGTGCCCTTTTTTGCTTAAAGGGGTTTATAAGGGAACCTAAACCCCCCAAAAAGGGTATATATATATATATATATATGTATACTTATTTGTTTGCATTTGTGTATTTGTTCATGTAAACCTTCAATTAAGGCTGGTTTAGGGATATGGGAGTTGAGCCCCATAGAATTTCAAACACATTTCCATCCAACTTGACCCCAGTCTAAGCTTTGCACCACTGTCCGTCAGCATGCACGCGCCACTGCCACACATCGGGCGCAGTCGGGGGCACCACAAGTGGCAGGTCCTTGTCCTCAGTTGAACAAGTTTATGGCAATCACCGGAGACTTTCACACACACAGACTGGTAGACCCACCCCTACAAACCCTAAAAATCCTGGGAAGTTGGAATGCTCCGGTTTGATAGGGGACCAGCGGATCCGCAGCGTGCGGGATTTTTTTCTTTGGGGGGGGGGGGGAGGGAGCCTTGTTGACGGCTAGTATAAACGAACATGACGAGAAGGCACCGAACAAAATGCTACAGGTCAAGGTGCAGGGCTACAAGGAGGGGCCCCCTTACTATACCAACTATAGTTAAGGGACATATAGCCTAAGTTACGATCCTTATATCCCAATTTAGGGTCCTTATATATCTACTTATAACTGGGGGGGGGGGGGGGGGGGGGGGGGCCCCTCCTTGTAGTACTATCCTAAACCTTAAGCACTAAACCCTAAAATCATCCGGGACGCCCGTCTTCAATAGCCTGCTAGACTCGGTGGGCTATATATATACATATATATATATATATTCAGATACACATATATACTTTAGGGAACAAACGAACCCCTAACAGGGCTTTAGGGCTTAGGGTTCAGGGTTTAAGTGTAGTATAGTGTATATGACCAAGCTTTGGGTTCAGTTGGTCCCCAAGGTACTAAAGCATTCATATGCGCGTTTCCCAGAATGGTCTAGGAACTTCTCCAAGAACTCACCCTAGAGTAGCCCACGAATAACAAGTGTGTCCTTGTTGATTCCCGAAGGAGTTGATAAGGGAACCAACACCTTAAACACAAAAATGGAATGAGGGCCGACTCTGGGTCCCAGTAGCCCTAAACCCTAAACCCTAAACCCTAAACCCTAAACCCTAAACCCTAAACCCTTTCTTGTAGCTGCCAAGGATCCTCAGCCATGCACCTAGCGCCTTCTACGACATCCACCTCCAGCGGCCCATGCACCCGAAAAGTTCCAGCGCCCTTAGCTTTGCAGCATGCAGGGTTTAGGGTTTAGGGTTTAGGGTTTAGGGTTTAGGGTTTAGGGTTTAGGGTTTCTGCAGCACCATCTCCAAAGAGCGAATATCGGGCGCCAACGTAGGGTTTAGGGTTTAGGGTTTAGGGTTTAGGGTTTAGGGTTTAGGGTTTAGGGTTTGGGGTTTGGGGTTTGGGGTTTGGGGTTTGGGGTTTGGGGTTTGGGGTTTGGGGTTTGGGGTTTGGGGTTTGGGGTTTGGGGTTTGGGGTTTAGGGTTTAGGTTTTGATGAGGCTGGTGGGGCTGCAAGGGCTGCTAGTACAGGGCTTACGGGTGGTTTCGTGCGAGTTTCCCTGCGCTCTCAAGTGAGGCCTCTGGCCTATGCAGTGTTAGGGTTGAAGTTTTAGGTCCTTTTCGGAGTGGGACATGGGGGCCTATGCTTTGGCTGAGGGCTGTTACCTGCGGGGTAGGCAGGTTAATCTCTGGGGGGCTTTCAGAGGGTTGAGACTGGTTTGGGGTTTGGGGTTTAGGGTTTAGGGCTTCGGGTTTACGTTTTCCAGGCTTTTTAGCACCCACAAGCCCTGAACCCTCAACCCACCACATCCTCTCCAAACACGACACCCTAAACCCTAAACTTCCCTAAACCTTAAACCCCCCTCAAACCCCCCTCAACCCCTGCGAAATTTGGGGGTTTCGGGCTTGGCAAACCTTCCATGCAGTTCGGGAATTGAGTCCGAGGGTTTGGGCGGGTTTGAGCATGGTCCCTTACCTGCGGGCCCTTAATTGAGGACCCCTGTAAATCCAAAGCGCCCATACTTCAGAACCCTTTAAAGAAGGGAAGGGACCATACTAAGGGACCATACAACTACCCATAGAACCATAAGGTCTTAGACCCAAGAGTAGCCTGGGAATACACAGGGTGCCCTTTGTGGCTCAAAAGGGCTGATAAGGGAACCTAAACACTAACAAAAAGGGAATGAAGGATCTACTCTGGGTCCTAGTAACCCTGAGATCCTAAGCCCTCCCCGAAATTTAGGGTTTTCGGGAGTTTCGAGGACCTAATGATAGACAACGTCGGGCCCTATGTCTATGCCCTCGTTACAGGCACCATGACCTACTATTTGCTTAAGAACACCAAAAAGAGTCGATTCTTCCTGACAAGGGGAACCTTCAGGGGTACAACCTTAGAGGGTACGAGTCTTGATCCCTTACAAGGAGGGGCCCCCCCTACTATACCAACTATTTTAAAGGACTTACAAGTTAGGATCCTTGCAACCCAATTGAGGGGTTTTATAACTCTACTTATCACTACGTCCCCTACCCACAAACCTAAACCCTAAACCCTAAACCCTAAACGCGAAACGCGAAACGCTAAACCCAAAACCCAAAACCCAAAACCCAAGACCCAAAACCCAAAACCCAAAACCCTAACCCAAAACCCAAAACCCAAAACCCCAAACCCGAAACCCTAAACCCGAAACCCTAAACCCTACTCTGCCAAACCTAACGCAGGCCAGCTTCGATGCCTGCCTCGACCATTGCAGCCTCCGGCTTGCGCCACGGCCAAAGGGGGGCGGTTGGGGCTTAGGGGTTAGGGTTTAGGGTTTAGGGGTTTAGGGTTTAGGGGTTTAGGGTTTAGGGTTTAGGGTTTGGGGCTTTAGGTTTAGGCTTAGGCTTTGGGGTTAGATAGGTTTGGGGGCCCTCTAAACACTACGCAATCTTCATGGCTTTATAAGGAGTGTAAAAGGATCAAGAGATACTAAACATTGGAAAAATCATGTTCAAATCAACCCCTGATACAATGTTCAGACGTCAGGAATGTTTGCTCCCTTAGTTTTTGAAGCTGGACTTGCCAACCCACCTGCCTTGTTGAAGAGGGGGAGAAGGGACAGCAGCAGCCTATAAACCCTGAACCCCCCATCCTACCAAAACCTGCAGATACAACCCTAAACCCTAAACCCTATAAACCCTAAACCCAAACCCCTTACCCTCGAAAGAAGCAACCTCTCCCGGCCGGCGGAGCCCTGAAGCCAGCTCCCCGAAGCCCTCAGGCCTCACACCGAAAAAGGTCCCCTAAACCAACTTCTCTACTGGCTGCCATACAAAAGACCAGAAGAATGGGGGTGCAGGGTTTAGGGTCTAGGGTTTTAGTGAATATCCTAGCAAAAGAAAAGGTTCACCTTTCTGTATAAACTAGCACTCGATATATGTATATAACCAAAAAGGCTAAAGGCTACCTACCCAGTCCCTAAGAGAATCGCTGCACGAAACGGTGCGATTCTTGCACATAAGGCACCTTCTTCTTCCAGACTTTTGTCGGCAGAGTCCTTCGACAAACCATACTACAGAACCTTTGGGGCCATTGCAAGAAGGTATCGGAGGGCCCTAGAAGCCCCCTGAAACAAATTCCTAAATATGATCCTCTTAAACTCAGTAAGGAAAAATGTAAATATCCCAAGGGCCTACCAAGAAAAGAATCTTCAACCCTGAGCCCTGAACCCTGAAACCTAAACCCTAAACCCTCGAGACCCCGGAAGGATATTGGCAGCAGGAAGAAGCCTCGAGCTTGCCAGAGTCAGCCCATGGCGGGACGTTCCGGTGGACCCGCATCACCCCCTTGCCGTCCTCCTGAAAAACGGGGGACAAGACTCCTAAACCCTAAACCCTAAAACCCTAATCCCTACGTGACAAAGAGAGTCGAGTAGGGTTGGGGGACACGAGCCGAACAGTTTGAACCTGCAACCCAAAGAGCTTAGCTCTGCCGTACTTGCAGGCGCTCGCGAGAACGCTGGGTTTATGGTTTAGGGTTTAGGATTTAGGGGTTTAGGGTTGGTTGTTTTTCGCTCCCGCATAGCAGGGTTTAGTTTCTTTGGTGGTACATACAGTTGCAAATGGTTCTCCCCATGTTAAGGGGTGCATGATCATCCTTTTTTTGTTGCGGAACTGGGTGCGCCTCCCTACGCCCTAAACCCTAAACCCTGCGTTGGGTTCCCCATGGTTCCCCTACTACCCCCCCTCTATCCTAGTTCCCCTCGATTCCTAGACCCAAGAGAAACCTCGGAATATAAAGGGTGCCCTTTTTGGTTGAAAGGGGTTTTATACAAGGGAACCTAAACAACAAAAAAAGGAATGCGGGCCATCTCTGGGTCCTAGTAGCTTAGGGGCGTGCAAGGCTCGATCCGCTTTGTGGTTTTTGGCTTCTGCTCGTCATCTTGGTTTCGGGCTGGGCTACAGGGTCCGAATTATAAGCCCTAAGCCCTGTAAGCCTTCGAAGGCCTAAGGCCCCAACCCCTTAAACGCTTAAACCCTTAAACTCTTAAACTCTTAAACCCTTAAACCCTAACCCTAGACCTTAAACTCTTAAACCCTTAAACTCTTAAACTCTTAAACCCTTAAAGTCTTAAACCCTTAAAGTCTTAAACTCTTAAACTCTTAAACTCTTAAACTCTTAAACCCTTAAACCCTACACCTTCTTCTCCCGCCAGGCTCCTGTAGGGAGAGCTGCGGTGACAGAACCACATCTGCAAGCACCCGCGCCTTGCAACTCCAGCTCTCAGGGCGGTTTGGGGTTTAGGGTTTAGGGTTTAGGGTTTAGGGGGGCCTCTCAGGGCTTCGTGAGGGTTTAGGGTTTAGGGGGTTTTGTAGAGAAGTCTTTGGACCGGCCTGCTGCTCCTCTCCAAAGTAGTAGCGGGGGTGAAAGGTACAAGGGTAAGCACCCTAAACCCTAAACCCTAAACCCTAAACCCTAAACCCTAAACCCTAAACCCTAAATCCTAAACCCTAAACCCGTGAAAGGGCGTCGCGGCTCTTGCAACAAAGCGGCCGCCATCAGTGGGCCCAGAAGCTCCGTGGCCTGGGTCAGGAGCCTGGCCAGATCCTTGACCTGGGAGTTGAAGGCAGTTCCCTTGAATCCCTAAACCCTAAACCCTAAACCCTAAACCCTAAACCCTAAACCCTAAACCCTAAACCCTAAACCCTAAACCCTAAACCCTAAACCCTGAACCCTGAACCCTGAACCCTGAACCCTGAACCCTGAACCCTGAACCCTGAACCCTGAACCCTGAACCCTGAACCCTAAACTAACCGGGTTTAGGGTTTTAGGGGGTGTCACAGTGGGCTTTTGGCCTTAGGGTTTGAGTAGGCTTAAGGGTTTAGGGTTTCGAGGGTTGTCGCAATAAACGGAATCGAAACGCACAACCCTAAACCCTGAACCCTGAACCCTAAACCCTAACCCTCATGCTCCTCACAGGCCTCCCTTTGTAGCCACTCGGCCCCATGAGCTTTCTCAAAGGGTCGGATAAACCCTAAACTCCTAATCTATAGGGTTCCCTAAACCCTAAACCCTAAACCCTAAACTCTATACCCTGAACCCTAAGTTCAGAGTTTGTTTCTTGCAACCTATAATGTGGACTAGGTCATCTGCACGAGGGTCCGACAAAGAGACATCTCGCAGTCCTAGGCCTTAAGCCCTACTTGAGACCTACACCCCAATGCCATTTCGGGCTTAGGGTTTGTTTAGGGTTGAGGGTTACTTTCAGGGTTTAGGGTTTAGGGTTTGGGTTTAGGGTGGGTTTTGAAGGATGTGCCGCAGTGGAATGCCAGGGTGCGGTGGCCGTGTGGTAGTGAAAGTCCTTCCGGTCTGAGCTCTTATAAACTCACAGTCTCTGCAGGGAGGGATGTTCGAGTAGGCCCTGCCTGCACCCGCCAAGCCCTGCCCCAAGGGTTTAGGGTTTAGGGTTTAGGGTTTAGGGTTCAGAGTTTAGGGTTTCGGGCTTGGGGTTTAGGGTTTAGGGTTTAGGGTTTAGGGTTTAGGGTTTAGGGTTTAGGGTTTAGGGTACCATCTCTGCAGCACAAGAAAACAACCTCAAACAGTGGGTCGGCAAGTCTTTTCTGACACGAGAAATAGCTTGCATCAAACATCTGTTTCAGGGAATGCAGCGTTGCCGCCGACCGAAGTGGAACAAATCTTACCAGCTGAGTCATCCCCCCCCCCCCCCCAACCCTAAACCCTAAACCCTAAACCCTAAACCCTAAACCCTAAACCCTAAACCCTAAACCCTAAACCCCCCTGCGTCACTATCTTCAGGGTTCAGGGGTAGGTAAGCCTAGGAGGATCCTAAATTACCATTGCCTGCAAAAGAGGGGGCCCCCGACATGAGATGCAAAGCACAAAGCGCCATAGGGTGCGCTAATTCATGCTTGCAGTTTGAGTTTTTGGTGTATAGGCTTGGGATGTTTCCCCTTATACTAACAATCCTTACTAGCTATTACTGTACAGTACAATAGGGGGTACTATCATCCCTATTAAGGACTGCTAGTCTACGAGGGGGACATCCCAAGGTTTAGGCGCTCTACGGTCTCTACTGGGTTATTCGTCGGTTTCTGAATCGGTGGCTACTTCGGCCCGGCAGCTACCACGGCTAGGCACCCCAAAAGGCGGGCCTCAATTAGGGTCTCAAATCCCTGGTTTAGGGTTTAGGGTTTAGGGTTACAGTCCCTGTATGCCCTAGGCCCTAGGTAGCCCCTAAATAACACCCCCAGATAAACCCTAAGGTTCTTATCGGGGTCCCTCCTCTGAGATGATGAAACCATGCGAAACCCAAGTACTGCTCACAAGGGCCCCCTAAACCCTAAACCCTAAACCCTAAAACCCTAAAACCCTAAACCCTAAACCCTAACCCTAAACCCTAAACCCTAAACCCTAAACTTAAACCCAAAACCCAAAACCCAAAACCCAAAACCCTAAACCCTAAACACTAACCCCCCCCCCCCCCCCCCCCCGGCCTCAGACGTGGCCAATTCTTCACCATCCAGGTAGAAGAAGATTGTCGACCTGCACCAGCTAAACCCTAAACCCTAAACCCTAAACCCTAAACCCTAAACCCTAAACCCTAAACCCAAATAAAAAGACCCAAATGGGGGTTTCCGAAGTTAGGGGGTACCTTATTGGGGGTCTCTTGATAAGGGGAATCCTACTATTTGGGGGGGTATATGGTAGGGGCCCCTCATGTTCGTAAACCCCCCCTGATATTGATAAGGTACTTTACGCACCGGACAGCCCGCAGAGGGGCTCTCTCTCTCTCTCTCTCTCTCTGTCTCTCGCGCTGTCTTTCTCTGAGGTTGCATCCAAAAGGCCCACCACCACCCTGCGAAATCGTGATCTTCTTTGCAAGGGTTTAAGATGTATAAGGTTTAGGGGCTGCCTCTTCATTGCGAGTCACTTCCCCCAGCATCTTCAAGAAGATAGCCACGGACCTTCCTCCTAACAAGTTTCAGATGTTTCTTCACCCCAAACCCTAAACCGTATACTCAAGGAAGAAGAAGGGGTTAGAAGCGCCATCGCAGCGAGGTATGCGTCAACGTGAAGAACCGTGATTTTAAAGTTCCACCCTAAACCCCATGGGTTCCCCTACTACGCCCCCTGTATACTACCCCCCCTAAGTTCCCTCTTAATCAAAGCTATCCATACGGATAATCAAGCCCAACTAACGTCATTTAAGGGGGGGACACTAGGAGGGTAGTTTATAAGAATCGGGGGGGTAGAAGGGACACCCTTTAAAACAACCCGGGGGGGGACCTAGGAGGGGTAGTTTATAAGAATGGCGGCTAGAAGGGACACCCATGAAAACCCCAAAGCCATTGGCCTGCTCAGCTGCTCCCCCCAGATGACCGCACCGGTCTTCAGCTCCCGCGCGCGCAGCGCGCACAGGGGCGCGTCGACCATCGACAGGCGTGGAACCTTAGGCTGCAAGGACCTAATATGAAGTAGGGTTTTAATTTCTTGTATCCCCAAAAGGACACCAAATATATACACTCACCAGTATTAAAAAGGAACCCCATATACACTCACCAAAAACAGAAATATATACCCTGATTCAATATAGTTTGGGGCTTAGGCTCTAGGGCTTGAGTTGCCTTGCGTCACCTTTTCGTACCCCAAGACAAAGGGCAATGTACCTGAGTTTTGGGAAGTGGTCCCTTTTCAAAGGTACAAGGTTACTCTAGCCAGGATGGCCCTTAAAACCCTCTTTAAAAAAAATGTTGACATGCAGGATCGGGAGGACTTCTACTGCAATCCGGGCAAGGAGTTAAGCCCCCCCAAGCCTGGAGGGTTTGGGGTTTAGGGTTTAGGGTTTAGGGCTTAGGGTTTAGGGTTTAGGGTTTAGGGCTAGGGATTTCAGGGATACAGGATTTTAGCCTCATGGTCAGCCTTGGAACCTCGGCTTAGGGCATTCACGGTCTTCAGGATCTTCAGGGGTCTTCAGGGTGTTCAGGGTGTTCAGGGTGTTTAAGGTTTAGTGTTTCGGGTTTGTTGCAAACTGGACGTCAAGAGATATGCGGGGGGCTTGAAATATCTGGCAGTCCCTAATCGGCATCCTAGCCCTAAGGTCGACCTACTTGCAATGGTTCAGGGTTTAGGGTTTAGGGTGCCATGATAAGCATCTAAGGGTTTAGGGTTTAGGGTTTAGGGTTTAGGGCACTCAAGGGTTTAGGGTTTATAAGGGCTGAAGGTTGGCCCTCACAGAAGCCATCTCATGCCCAGGTTGCCTGGAACCGTCGGGAAAGGATCTGTGCAAGGCGCGAGCGGCCTCTGAACAGGTGGGGGGAGCGAACAAATCCCTAGCCCTAAACCCTAAACCCTAAACCCTAACCCTAAACCCTAAACCCTAAACCCTAAACCCTACCTAAAATTTCTCTGAATGACCCTTTCGGCATGTTTTGGCAGCAGCTTTTTGGGGTTTAGGGTATCTGTATATGGGAAACACATACATGTATTTATATACATAGGCAGAATATTTGTCGTTATTAGGCGCCTGTATTGCTTAGCTACTCTTCGGCATGTGAATGGCCTGACTTTCTTGTGCTTATAGCCTTTATAAATATATGGGCCCATGAACAAACGCAGCGGCCAACAAAAACCTAGTTCTTAGGTCCCTCGTCCAGGCTACGGCTACTTTGTTCAAGCCCTAGACCATAAACCCTAATCTGCAGGCTCACGCGCAAGCTCCAGGGTTCAGGACTTTTGCGTCTGATGAGGAAGACGACCAGTCCGGATCAGGGCGGTAGTTGGGGGGGGAGGGTCGGGGGAGGTTTAGGGTTTAGGGTTGGACGTAAACCCTAGACAGCCCTACTCGGCCCAGCGACACAAGAGACTCTCAAGCCTAGCCTGTCTACAGCCCTATGCCCCCATAAGCTTTAAACCCTCCACCCTGCAAACCCTGCAAACCCTGCAAACCCTGCAAACCCTGCAAACCCTGCAAACCCTGCAAACCCTGCAAACCCTGCAAACCCTGCAAACCCTGCAAACCCTGCAAACCCTGCAAACCCTGCAAACCCTGCAAACCCTGCAAACCCTGCAACCCTGCAAACCCTGCAAACCCTGCAAACCCTGCAAACCCTGCAAACCCTGCAAACCCTGCAAACCCTACACCCTAAACCCGAACCCTAAGAACCGCAAGAGTAGCCGGGCGACTGCTCTGCTTGAACAAGCTCGGCAGAACGGGAACCACCAAGTGGTGGTCGCTGGGCCTGACAAAAGTAAACCCTATAAACCCTATAAAAACCCTATAAACCCTATAAAAACCCTATAAAAACCCTATAAAAACCCTATAAAAACCCTATAAACCCTATAAACCCTAAACCCATGTTCGTGGGATCACACTGGGAAACCGGTGGGGCTTGGGGCTTCTGAGGCTTTGCGGATTCTGAGTTTAGGGTTTATCAAGTTTAGGGCTCATAAAGTTGGGATGTTGCCCCCTATACTCACAGTCCTTGATAGGGATTATAGCACCCCGTATTATAATCCCTATTACGGACTGTTAGTATAAGGGAACATCCCAATTCATTAAAGCTTATGGTGGGTTATAGGGTTTGAGAGTGTAGGGGTCCTTCCGAGCCTGAACTCTGCTTCATGCCCTCAACTGTGGGGTCCCCTACACCCTAAACCCTAAAACCCCAAACCCTAAACCCCAAACCCTTTTCCAAGAGACTTCGCCCTAAACCCTAAACCCTAAACCCTAAACCCTAAACCCTAAGGTTAAACCCTAAACCCTAAACCCTAAACCCTAAACCCTGAACCCCAAACCTCAAACCGCCCTTCATCCTCGAGCCTTGATGCCAGTGACCCCAGACCTCTGGGAGGATCCAAAAATAGATCCCCATTAAGGGTTCCTAAAACTGACCCACTAGTAGTACAGGGGTTTGGGGTTTGGGGTTTGGGGTTTAATTAGGGTTTAGGGTTTAGGGTTTAGGGTAATTACTATTTTGGGGGCTCTATTTTTTTGGATCCTCCCAGGGGTCTGGGTATTTGTTCTTTGCCGACGCCTGATTCCAAGCTTCCGGAAGGCCCAGTCAAATGCCTCTGACAGGACCTCAAAGTCCACCTTCCAATGGGCTTTAAGTGCAGGGCTTAGGGTTTAGGGTTTGCTGTGATAGGTCGTAGATGCTGTGAAGGTTAGGTTTCGGGACAAGCTCGAAAGCTTCGTGAGGTGCGAAAAGCAGCTTTGGCCCGATTGTGGAGGGCCATCTAACGCTTTTCTCCCACCCCACGTCGTCCAAGGCGGCAAAGCCACCCAAACCTATTCCTTTTAGGGTTTGGGCCTAAACTCAGACAACAGTCCACCTCTAAACACTTATTCAGTTTCATGAGTGGGTCCGAGAGTCAAAGGAATGGGGTCGGGAGGCAGCCCCAGGCAGGGCTGCAGGTATTGGGTCACGGCCAGAGGCGCCAGGCAGGGGGGGTTAGGGGGCCCTTGCGCACAGTGCGGTGAGGGGTCGGGACCTTCCAGGCTGGGGTTTTTTGGGGGGCCCTGGCCGGGCCTCACGGAGCTTGGAGCTCCAGGTTTAGGGTATTGACTTCAATAAGGGAGCAGGAACGTGCTCCGGTACCGGGTGCTGCCGAATTGCGAGCTGTGGGAGGCGGGCGAACGCTTGCGCCATCGAGGTCGAAGGACAACGGCCCAACTGTAGGGGGGCGGCCTAGCTAGGCCTTGAGTTTAGGGTTTAGGGTTTAAGGCTTAAGGTTTAGGGTTTAGGTTTTCTAGGGTCTTAGGCTAGATACATGGTCCCTTGGTATGGGCCCTGACCCTGATATAAGCCAAGAGCCCATACATCCGAACCTTTAATTAAATAAGGTAAGGGGCCATAGTAAGGGCCCGTATAACTACCCTTAGATTCTAGGCGCGCTCGTCAAGCTATTGTGAAGGTTATGGGGTTTGCAGGTGTTGCAAGGGTTATAGCGTTAAACCCTAAACCCTAAACCCTTGTTGGGTCCTATGCATAGCACGGCCCGGTTCAAAGCAGGATCCTGGAAGGAACCCTGATTTAGAGAACTCACCTTCTGGGCGACATTGGGGGTTTTAGGGTTTAGGGTTTAGGGTTTAAGGTTGGGTTGGTATAGGGCTTTCGTGGATTTCGCAAGTTGCGATGTAGGGTTTGGGGTTTGGGGTTTAGGATTTGGGGCTTCGGGTTCGTGCTGGTGAAAACCCTAAAACCGAAATCCTGATGATTCGACTCTACCCCGAGCGCCGCTCAAACCCGACTCTCACTGAGCGTGGCCTGGCCGAAACCTGGCATCTCGAACGCCTTGTTGTGTCTTGCGCGGCCTCTCTATAGGGTTCAGGGTCTAAGGGGTTTTGGGATTATAGGGTCTCTCATGGACGTGCGTAGAATCCGACGCAAAGGCGTCCATACAGCTGCTTCGGGCTTAGCGGCTGCAGACCCGAAACCCCACAGCCTACACCGTAAACCCCTAATCCAAACCCGAAAGACAGGTCCTGCCTTGGAGATATCCTTTTCTATTGTCCTGGTTGCCCGCGTCATTTAGGGCCTGGCAGCACTACAAGCTGCGGAGGGGTGCCCTTCTTTGCTCGTAGTGTCCTGCCAACCAAGTACAAGAGGAGCCCAAATGTCCAAACCCGGCGACCTACACCCTAACCCTAAACCCTACACCCACAAACCCATGTCATGCCGAGCATCCTCTGCATTTCCATGCCTGGGGAAGATCATCTCGCATCTTTTGGGGACCCAACAACCCTAAACCTAGACCCGAAGCCCTAGACCCTATTCTGTGGCATCGCGGAAGTCCCCCAAACATCTCCCTCGCGCTGGCATGGGTTTATACGTTCTTTCTCTCCGCCAAATGCTTAATGGGGTTCCGCTTTTGCTTGGAAGTTCATGAGTACTTATAACCCGTTTAGGGTTCAGGGTTTAGGGTTTAGGGTTGCTTCTATAAGTACCCGTGAACCTCCAAGCGGTTCTTAGTAGGGAATGAGGGAAGTAGAGCCCGGTCTATACGCTTTGAGGGATTATGCAGGGTACCTCATTCCCTCATTCCCTACTAAGAACCAGTTAGTTTACCTAGAGCATTTCTCCCTCAACAAAAAGGTATCGTGATGTACCTTGATTATGTGGAAAGATGCCCACGTTTAAGAGGGGCAAAAGGCTAGTACTAACTACTGTAGTCCGAAAGGGTGCCTAGTTTCCTCGTCACGAACCGGCAAGTCGAGGAGTTTACTTGGAAGCTCTTTTGACATGGTAAGTCTACTTAGTAGCCCTCAAAATACTCAAAATCCCTAGGATCATCCCCGAAACCCTAAACCGTAAACCCTAAACCCTAGTGCGCCAAAAATAGAAGATTATGATTCCCACGTTGCCCTTATATGGCAGAGTGTTTTTGTTCTTTGGGGGGGAGGGGGGGGTGTCCCTAAACCCAAACCCCAAACTCAGACTCCTGAAGTCGGCAGGGAAAGGCCTGTGAAAAACCCTAAACCCTAAACCCCAAACCCCAAACCCCAAACCCTAAACCCTAGACCCTAAACCCTAAACCAAAAAATGAACCTAAACCCTAAACCCTAAACCCTAAACCCTATGTTAGGACTTGGGCGAGATGCCAGAAACGCTTCCGGGACCAGGGATGTGTGCCAACCTCCCAGCCGACGCGCTGCTTGAAGGAAGAGTCCCATCCTGAGGCAGAGGCAGTTTTATTATTAAGGTTTCAACCCTAAACCCTAAACCCTAAACCCTAGCCCTAAACCCTAAACCCTAAACCCGATCAACTCACATTCCAGCAGTCAGCTTCTGGTTTCCTAAATCGCGCGGAGCACCTCCACAGTGCATTCTCTAGACCGGCAGTCGCCCAGTAGGGTTTAGGGGTTTAGGGGTTTAGGGGTTTAGGGGTTTAGGGGTTTAGGGGTTTAGGGGTTTAGGGGTTTAGGGGTTTAGGGGTTTAGGGTTTAGGGTTTAGGGTTTAAGGTTCAGGGTTTAGGTGCCCCAGGCTCGGTTCCTTGCTTCAGCGTTGCTCCGTGATGACTTACTTCACTATAAAATACTTGGGCTCCAACCGTCCCTACATCTCAGGTACTTGAAGGCCCAGTGTTCCTATACACCCAGCGGCCGATACCGTCGAGGTCATGAGCGAACAGAGCCGGCACGGCCTTCACCTGAAACAAAGCACTGTGGTTTAGGGGCCCCCTACTTACAAGTAGGTTGATAAGGATCCTAAATTGGGTTCTATAAGAACCCGAACTTAGGTTGTCAGCCGCTTAATAAAAGTTAGTATGGAAAGGAGGCCCCTCCTTGTGGGGTTTACCGAGAGTAACCGTGTAAGTACCTTTTCATTAAGGCACAGTACCCTTTGTAAGACTCAGTAGCCCAGTAACCATATGATGAAAAGGGTACATTGTTTGTGGTTGATTACTTCATGAGGAACCTTGAACTAAACAAAGGGTAAAGGGCACCCATCCTCCAGCCTGTCCAGACCAGGGAAAACACCTACTACCCCCTGTACTACCCCCTACTACCCCGTACTTCCCCCCCCCTGCTACCCTACCCTGGCCCCCTACAGAAAATACTGGCGTAAAAGAGCAAGAAACCTTAACCCTTGCACCCAAAAACCCTTTTTGCTTCAGGGCTCCTGTGGTAGCTTGCCTGCGACAGAGGTTGTCCAGGCAATGTGATATCATGCGAGCCGGATGACTTCGTCAACGACCCTGGCCTGAATCTCTGCCCAAATCCTAAACCCTAAACCCACCAAAACCCTAAACCCTAAACCCAAACCCCCAAACCCCAATAACAGGCTCCGATTATACACATACCAAGGCTACAAGGCATTCACAAGGCTAAAGCTAGATGGGGTTGCCTAGCCGAAGCCAGCTCCATCTTCCTCCCGGCACTGGCAAGAGCGTGTGTTTAGGGTTTAGGGTTTAGGGTGTGTGTGTGCACAATGGGCGATCACCCTAACCCTAAACCCTAAATGCTTGGCTGTTAAGGCTCCCGGAAACGGATGCACTCGATCTCGGTCTCAAGCCTGACTTTGGGTCCAGGGCCGTCTTGCGGTTTAGAGTGCTATCCTATCAACCCACCGAACCCTAAACCCTAAACCCTCAACCCTTTTTGCAAACCCTGAACCCCAAACCCTAAACCCTAAACCCTACTGGGGGATGCATCGTACCCTACCCCAGGTTCGAGCCCCGGCCCCTGAACCCTAAACCCTAAACCCGAAAATCAGCCTCCGTTTGCTCGCTCTTCTCCGCCCAGATTTGCAGAGCCGAGGCGAAGAAGATTACGCCTTGGGATGCGACGCTTAGGTTGCAGGGCTTAGGGTTTAGGGTTTAGGGTTTAGGATTGGGGGAGGTTTAGGGTTTGGGGAGGTTTAGGGTTTTTTGAGGAAGGGATCCCAACCTTAAACCCGGTAAGGGGATTTAGGCTCCCGATGAACAAAAGTCTGGTTGCTTCAGTACCCCTGGCAACCCCAGAGCTTCAATCAGACAAGAATCTGACCGGCGCTTTCGTGGAAAGTATGTGCTGCTTCCGATAGAAGCCCAGCCAATCCTCTCTGCCATCGTCACTTGGGTTTCCCTTGCTAGTTTCTGCAGGAGCATCCGCGTCCTAGACCATTAAACCCTAAACCCTAAGCCCCATAAGCCCTAGCCCTATCCGTGGACCCCGAAACCGGAGTCGCCAGTTCTAAGGTTTTGGGTCCCAATGGCCTTCCTGTAGAAGGTTTTGGGCTCTGTTGAGGCGTTTGCAAGGGAAGCCAAAACCCTCAGCAACAATTGCATGAATTCGGGCACACTTCGCGTTTTAGATGCAGAGTTACAGGACTGAGGTAAGGCCTCAAAAGTGCCGAGTCTTCCTTACTCCCAAGCCCACACCCCCAATCAGTACCCGCCCCCACGTGAAGGTCTAGCTCCCTTCACACCAAACCGTAGAGCCTATGAAACCTATAAACCTTACACCTCCTTCCCCTAAACCCTAAACCCTAAACCCTAAGCCCTAAGCCCTAAGCCCTAAACCCTAAACAGTCCTTCAACTCGGGCTCTAGGCCATATGCCGCTCCTGGTGCAGGCTCGGTGTTGACCCTTACCTGGGTGGGCCCTGGTACACTTTAGGGTTTAGGGTTCAGGGTTTAGGGTTTAGGGTAAGCCTCACTGAACAGGGTCTCGGCTACCACGCTTCGTACCCTAAACCCTAAACCCTACAAACCCTATAGATTCTATAGACAACACAAACACTCTGAACCCATCAAACCCTGAACTATACACCCCCAAACCTGCCATTGTGCGGGGCCCAACAAGTCCGTGCCTTCGAGCACCTCGCTTTCATTGGGCCATCGCTGTCGGCAAAAGCCCTGCCACAGGGCACCTGGTCACACAAACCCTAAACTTTAAACCCTCTTGGGCCTTTAGGGTCTAGGATTGAGGGTTTCGGTTTTCTTCCTGGATTCGCCAAAGTGGGAGGGTTTCGGGTTTGGGTTTCGGGCGTTTTGGTCCTGGACTCTGCTGCTTTGCTATACTAGTGCAACCATATATAAGGACCCCAACCCTACACCCTACCCGTAAACCCTAAACCCGGGATCCTAAACCCCAAACCCTAAAACCGTCAACCCTATGCCCTACCTAAGCCCTGCAACCGCATAAGCACAGCTTATTTAGGGCCACCATAAACTCGTACAGGTGTGGGTCCAATGGGCTCTCAAGCTAAGAGGTTCCGGAGCTGAATTCCCTGCTTCCCAAAAAACACGTGCTGACTCGCCCCCCATCATCGGGTTTAGGGTTTAGGGTTTCCTTTTTTCGGGTTTAGGGTTGAGGCCCCCCCAAAAGACACTGACGTGGCTGCTCAACCTTGCGGACGAAAACAACCCCACAATTGAAACCGCATGCCCCATAGTGGGGCACTTGGACCAGAAACGTTAGGGTTTAGGGTTTAGGGTTTAGGGTTTAGGGTTTAGGGGTTCACTTAGGCCGCAGGGACAAGGATCTTCTTGGTAGCCCAGCCACCATATTTCACCATGAAGCAAAACAAGGGTAAGGGGTGCCACGGGCTACCAAGCCTTCTTGGAACCCAATTATAACTGTACTTATAACACACTTATAATTGGGTTATAAGTACCTAAACCCTAAACCCTAAACCCAAAACCCTAAAAACTAAACCCTAAACCCTAAGCCTAAACCCTAAACCTTAAACCCCAAACCCGAAAACCGAAACCCTAAACCCCAAGCCTTCCAAAGATCTCAACTCCCTTGGCAACGGTCCATGCCTGCCATTGAAACACTGCACCATCTCCTGCACACTGTCAGGATGCGGCCCACCTGCTGCGAACCCAGGGTTTAGGGTTTAGGGTTTAGGGTTTAGGGTTTAGGGTTAGGGGTTTAGGGTTTAGGGTTTAGGGTTTAGGGTTTAGGGTTTAGGGTTAGGGGTTTAGGGTTTAGGGTTTAGGGTTCCGCCTGCTAGTAGAGGGACCTTCGTGTACATTGCCCGTCTGCCCAAGAACTCGCGGAGTGAATAACTATGTAACACTCACGCTCTCCGTCTTTAGGGTCTATAGGGCTTATGGCCCAGAGACCCAAAGACATCCTTACCATCGACGGCAGCCCTCGAATCGATCTTGGAAAACGTTTACTTGGAGGTTCATGGACAGTCGTTGCCACACCAGATATAGGTACATTCGCCCTAAGCTACTATTCCTTAAGAAGCCCCCCCCCCCCCCCCCCCCCCCCCAAAAAAAAAAAAAAAAACAAAAAGAGTAATAATCACCGTATGCCCCTTTTGGGGAAGAATACTTCTATTTTTCGGAGGGGTTCTTCAGCAAACAGTAGCCCTAAACCCTAAACCCTAAAATAAAAAACCCTAAACCCTAACTCCTAACCCCTAAACCCTAAAAACAGTAGTTAGGGCTTGCACCTCCAGGGGGTCCAGAAAGCTCAAGATGTACTCCACCGCCTTGTCCTGGTCGCTGGGCTTGGGGGGTGTAGGCTGCAGGGTTTTATGTTCAAGGCTTCACCCAGGTTGAACCTTAGACCCTAAACCCTAAACCCTAAACCCTAAACCCTAAACCCCTGACCCCTAAGCCCAGAGCGCCGCGCCTCGAAGGGAAGGGGTCGCGCGTCGCGCTGCTTCACGTCAGTGCCCTGGTGCGCAATCTGGATTCCAAGCGCCTCTGGGTCATTTAGGGTTTAGGGTTTCACGTTCCTGCACCCCGACATCCTAAACTCCAACCCTAATCAAGAACGAAACCCAAAACCAAAACAAACATCCCTCACTCTCGGGGTTGTACCTTGGACCCTGAAGGTTGTACTCTTGGGTCTTTAAGGGAGTATACGGGCCAGATTAGGAGAGCATATTCACGGGAACCTGTAGGGGTACAAACCTGAGGGGTGCGAGTCTTAAATCCCTAGCCCTAAAACCCCAAACCCCAAACCCTAAACCCTAGCCCTAAACCCTAAACCCTAAATCCCCGCACCCCAAGTTGCCTCCTGGTAAGCCTCGGTGGTTGCCAGGGCATCGCCTTTCGCAGCAAGGTCCCCAATCTGCTCGTAGAGAGCCCTGGAGGATGAGTGACCACGTCACACGCGTGGGGTTTAGGGCTTAGGGTTTAGGGTTTAGGGTTTAGGGTAAGGATGTCCCGTAGGAAGGGGATGACGCTACAACTTGAGTAGGTTATGGTGGGCGCAATGTTTAGCAAGGAATCCCCTGCTGAGGAACGCTTCTTTCCCCAACTCTCCATCCCTTCTAAACCCAAACTTCGCGCACATTCAGGTCCGTAACCCTAAACCCTAAACCCTAAACCCTAAACCCCATCACTCTAAGCAGCCTTATGTTTAGGGTACCGTTCGAAGGCTTCTAAGGGGCCACTGGAGATTCTCAGCTACCTGGTCTAGTCTCCGGAGCTCCTTTCACCTATCCCGTGGTTAGGGTTTAGGGTTTAGGGTTTGGGGTTTAGGGTTTAGGCTTTAGGGTCTAGCGTTTAGGATTTGGGAACCCCTCAACCCCAAACCCCGAACCCTGAACTGACCTGAAGAAGGGGCCCACCTGGGCCCAGCTGAAAGAACCCAGCACTTCAGAAGCTAACCCTATAGACCCTAAACCCTAAACCCTAAACCCTAAACCCTAAACCCTGCTGTGCCGTGAAGCCACGCCATGCGCTGGAACAGGGGGTCATCAGCATACCTCCAGGCGCCAAGAAGCTTCTGAAAACTCCTGGATGAGTTTAGGGTTTAGGGTTTAGGGTTTGGGGTTTAGAGTTTAGGGTTTTGGGGGTTTTGGGGTTTAGGGCTTGGGGTTTCGGCTTGAGGGTTTAGGGGTACTCCGCGCCTATCGGGCAAGTGGCGGGAGGGAGGAAGGGTGGGTTGGGCGATGAGCGGGAAGGGATCCTCCAAAAAAAACGCTGGGTATCGACTGTAGACCCTCCGACCCGAAAACCCCAAACCCTAAACATATATCCCAAACTTCAGTGTTCTCCTCTTGTGAGCCCTTCTTGTCGGGGGATTTCCTTCCAACATGAAACAGGCAGCATTTCTAATCCCTAAACCCTACACCCTAAACCCTTTTGAGCCCGGACCCTTACAACCTAGACTCTAAACCCTAAAGCCTAAGGACCTCAACAACCCTAAACCCTATAAACCCTAAACCCTAAACCCTAAATCCTAAACCCTAAACCCTAAACCCTAAACACTAAACCCTAAACCCTAAACCTCAACAACCCCATTGCCTTTTTTGGCAACCTAGGGGCTGTGGAACGGCAGGCGGCGGGCGGCGATCCACACAACGGAACATGAGCCTGAAGGTTCTCATGGGGGGCCTATACGTGGAGGCTCATGGGTTTAGGGTTTAGGGTTTAGGGTTTAGGGTTTAGGGTTTAGGGTTTAGGGTTTAGGGGTACTTACGACCCCCAAAACATAGCTGTACTATATACTCTCCCTAAGGAGGCTGTTAAGTACAGGTAGCATTGAAGTTCTAAGTACCCTTGAGCCTCCAAGTATGGTCAGTTCTCGAAATTCTGGTCCATTTTTGGGGTAAGTACTCCTAAATAATGGGGGACCCCAGAAAAGCTTATGATTTAGAGATAGCATCATAAAGTACGTTTAGAAGGCGAATTGCATAGGGGCTGACCCTAAGGGTCCATGGACTCTAAACCCTAAACCCTTTAAACCCTAAACCCTCAACCCTAAACCCTAAACGGGGCTAATTATACAAGGGCTCTGTGCCGTCGTCTGGCGTCAGCTGATGTGTAATTATGGTTTAGCTGGGGGTTCTGGGCTTTGGACCTGAAGCTGGCTCATGTAAGGTTTAGGGTTTATAGGGCTTAGGGCTTAGGGTTTAGGGTTTAGGGTTTTTTTGCCACCCGACCAGCCAGAGCAATGCGGGGTTTAGGGTTTTTTTTTCACTCCTGCACAGCTGGGTTTAGGGTTTAGGGTGTAGGGTTTAGGGATTAGGGTCTAGGGTCTAGGGCGGAGGTATGGCGCAGTTTGGCGACATGCTGCCTACTCCTTGCAAGAGGCTTCCCACCGCTGCCGCCTTCGCTTCTGCTATTCTCGTCTGTCTCGGGTTTCGCTACAGACCCATGTTCAGTGGGCGCAAAGCTCACTGGGAAAGCTGGTACAAGTAGGGGCCCCCTTACTATACTAACCTTAGATTAAGGGAGTTATAACCTACATAGTGGTACTTATAACCCAATTTGGGGCACTTCTAACCCTATTGATAACTAGGGGGGCCCTAGAGCTATACTCTCCTTAGAACCTGAATATAAAAATAATATTTTGAATATCCTCTTAGGTTTTATATAAACAAAAAAATCAAAGGGGGGCCCTACAGGTACATGCAGCACCTTTGATGAGAGAGCCAGCCAAGAGGCTCGCTGCGGGCCACGTACTTTGTGCCTTTTAGGACCTGCCAAGAGCTTCTTGGTAACCCGGTAACCATATATGTATATATTATGATAAGGGCACCTTTTCTTTTGTGGTTGGTTAATCATATGTATTATAAATATTATGATAAGGGCACCTTTTTTTGTGGTTGGTTACTCTGTGGTAAGAATGGAACCCAGAACCACAAACAATGTAAAGGGTACCACTGGGCTGCTGTAGGTGGATGCACTTGCCAAGCATACCGCCTTTCCAGTGGTTACGGAGTGCAATCAATGTGATCACATGCTTCTATAACTGCTGCTTCTGGGGAGAGTTTGTGGTTCTGGCCTGGGGTGTAGAGAGGCCAATGGGACAACAACTTTTCTTCTGATTGCGGACTGCGTCCTGTGGCACCCGATAGAGGGAGAGGTATGCTCAAGCATGGCCTCACCAGGTCAGCATAACCCAGCTGTACTGTACGTCTAGCTCCTGCTTGATTACCACAAGACATGCCTCCACGAACAAACAGGTTTTTGGCAGAACAGGTGGCTGTGTGAAGGGATCAGGACACTGGCCATAGAGTTGAATACACAAGCCTATCCATGAAAACGCCGATGCCGTGATGAATATGGTATGCAAGGCCCAAAGTACAGTACTAATCCAACTACAAGGAGGGAGAATTATAAGGGTCCTAAACTGGTTTATGAAGCTCAGGTTATGACTCCCCAACCTACAGTTGGTAAGGGGAAGCCCTCCCTGTCGAGTAGTCTGTTCTATCTTTATGAGCTTCTGCGTCAGCAAAAGTCAGACCCCGTTATACAGCCCAAGCGGGTCTAGGGCCTTGGGTTTGCTAAAAAAAATCGTGCCCCACCTCCTGACCAGCGTGTGACAGGTCGTGTGGCAGCAGCACCTGAGCTTGCAACTATACTCCCCTTGGAAAAAAGTTGTTTATAAATCCCTATATGGTTGCTATAGAAAGAACACCAGGAGGCTTGTCTACATGAACTTAAAACATAACCCGAAACCCTAACTCCTTAACCCTGTAAATCCTTAATCCTTAGGTGGGAACACGACTACTCAGGGCGTGGACGTTTCCGGGAAGTTGGGGGGGTGGGGGGGGGGGTGGTGAGTGGAGCGGGCTCGGGGCTGAGTACTTGCTAAAAGGGTTTGGGGTTTAGGGTTTGGGGTTTAGGTGTTTGGCTTAGGGTTTGGGGTTTAGTGTAGGGGCCCTCAGGCTAGGGAGGGGTTGCAGCAGGATATGGTCGGGAAAGCGTAGCAATAAGTACACCGAGGCTAGAAGCGGACATGTCACAAAGGTGTCATGCGACAAACAATCGAAGAGGTGTAAGCCGGCCTGCAAACCAAGCAGGTCCGCGGAATTCGTCCTGTGTGTTTGCGCAACGAGTGTTGCCATAGGTGCTGTGCTGCGGTCGAGGACCTTTCAGTGGGCACCTGCTGATGAAACATTTTGCAATGCCATCCATCAGAACACAGGCTAAACATGTGTTGCACATCATTGTGATCATCGTTGGTGTGCATCATCCTGAAGTACCCCAAGTGCCTTGCAACTGGCTACTTACAAGTCGCTTATAGGTTCTGCGGGGTGACATCGTGTCGGGTGCAGGTCCTCCATGAAGAAGCCTTGTCGCAGTGCATGCTTCGCACACCTTTGACATCCTTTTGCCCAATGAATATTATATATCTATCTACCTCTCTCTCTGTATATTTAAATAAACTCAAACTCAACAAGGAAAATAACGCTTTCTGCTGCTGGAACACAGCCGTGCCCGCAGTCGGCCGGAAACGTTTGCCGGACTCAGTAAACTCGAGCTCGCCACCCTCGTAGTCCTTCGCGAGATCGGCTCGGGTGGGAGGCCCGGGGATGCCCCGGCAGCCGAATACACCTTTGTAGGGAACAGACCTTGCACTATCCAGGCTTTGAACATCACCCTCAACCCTAAACCCTAAACCCCAAACCCCAAACCCTAAGTTTAGGGTTCAGGGTTCGAGGTTGATGGCACCCTTTGCAATAGAGTGCGGGTGTATCGGTGCCGAAGCTGCTCCAGCACGGGAAAGCGGAGCCAAAACCACAGGAGGTTTAGGTTTTAGGGTTTAGGGTTCCGGGGTTTTAGGGTTTGTAGGGCTCAGGATGACATGGATGTAGCAAGAGAACCGAACCCTTCTTACCCTAAACCCTTTTTGAAGCACGGACTGAGCCCTAAACCCTAATTCAACCCTAAACCCATGAGGGAAGGCTTAGACGAAACTTTCACGTCCAATTCCCCCCCATAAGTGAGGCTAACTTGGATAACTCAGCCTACTTAAGGTCATTTAAGCATTTAAGGGAACCTATGGGCGGGGGAGGGTAGTATAGAGGGGGGTAGTAAGGGAACCCATGAAGGATAGAGAATGTAGTCCTGCTCAAAGTTCTACCTAAACCTGCCATTGGTTCGCATATACGAACCCTAAACCGAAATCCTACACCCCCCCCCCCCCCCACCAGAAGACAATTAGGATCCTAGTTCATGCTAAATCCCTGACATCCTCGTTCAAGTAGAGGACCAGGGAGTAGATACTGCACTCATCATTGTCGTTGGCATACATCCCATCACAGTGAGTGGCAAAGTGCTCCCGCTCCTCCAGGCAGCTTACGATAGGGTTGAGGCTCGGGGCTGCGAGGTTTAGGGTTCATGTCTACTTTGCAACTGCTTAGTAAGTCCCCTGCTCTTCAAGCAAAAACCTCCTAGCAATGGCATGTAAAGGCCACTACGGGGCGTCCTAACCAAGGTCCATCCAGATGAACACGGCTTAGTGCTCAGAAATCACCCCTGACCCCAAAACAGTTCGCAGACCCAGGCTGCCTTGACAATTCAAAACTTGAAAGCCCAGTAATTAACCATATTGTAATAAGGGTACACCTTTTTTGGCTGTGGGTTACTTTATATCGGAACTCAGAACCAAAAAGAGGATTTAATGTTAATCGCGTACCGCTGGATTTCCAAGAAAGAGAACGTGGCGAACCGTTTTGCCCTTTTTGCCGGAGGGCTCTCTTATGTGCACGAGTCCATAGCAAGGGGACCCATCACAGGTCTGCGAAAGCAGCAACAGCATCATCCCATTCGGGCTTAGCTAGAGTAACGGAACACACCACACCCTAAACCCTAAACCCTACACCCTAAACCCTAAGCCCTAAACCCTAAGACCCTAAACCCGAAGACCCTAAACTCTAAGCCCTAAACCGGAGCTCCGCCTTGTACTGAGAGATGCGAAAGCATGGGTTCACGCCGACTGGCTTCCTTGGGCTTGCGGTTGAGGATCTTTGGGTTCATCAACCCTTGTAAACCCGAAACCAAGCCCCAAGCCCCAAGCCCTAAGCCCTCAACCCTGAACCCTAGCTGAAGGCTACTGGGCTCTCTGGAACAGCCAAGATTCCATCTGCCCTCAGCTCCAAAGCCCATTGGCTGCACAAGATACACCTGAGAGTTTAGGGTTTAATTAGGCTTTAGGGTTTAGGGTTGGTTTAGGGCTTCCTGGTCTGACCAGGTTGGCTACCATTTGCTTCAGAACCCCACCCAAAACAAAATATTCTTCCTCATAAGGTCAATCTTGGGACTATTGTTTGCGATTTGTTGGGTGATTTGCTAGGTGGTTTCCTGAGCAAAGAGTAGTTTTTGGAAAGTTGAAAGATGATGGAAGCGACATCCACGCACCCCCGCCTTACCAACAAATCGACCGGTATCGAATCGCACCAAACCCCAAACACCAAAGCCCTAGGGTTCAGGGTTTAGGGTTTCAGCCCATAAACACCAAACCCGAAAACCCCACAACCCAAAAACCCGAAACCCCTCCCCAAGCCCATTGAGAACTTGGGTTGTTCCCGGATGTTCCCCTTTATACGAAGTGCTGAATAGGGAATATCGTACCCCCCTATGAAAAACCCTATTAAGGACTGTTACTGTACGGGGGAAACATCCCAACTCAAAACCCTAAACCCAGCGCTGCATGCCTTGACTGTGCAGCCTGGGCACGTCGCGATGCGCAAGGTGGGGTACCAGCCGTCTGTACCTTGGAGGTCTCCCTCGTTTTTGGGTGGGTTTAGGGTTTAGGGTTTAGGGTTTAGGGTTTAGGGTTTAGGGTTTAGGGTTTAGGGTTTAGGGTTTAGGGTTTAGGGTGTAGGGTGTAGGGTGTAGGGTGTAGGGTTTCGGGTTTAGAGGGGGTTTACAGGGTTTAGGGCAGTTTAGGCTTGACCGCTTCGGAGCTGAGAAATCGGGGTTTAAGCTGTGGACTTGCGGGGGCACTCGACTGACTGACATGCAGGCTAGACTGCGCTTGAGGAACCCCTCAGCCCAAAAGCCCCCCTAAACCCTAAACCCCAAACCCGAAACCCTAAACCCTAAACCATAAACCCGAAACCCTACTCTGAGCTGAGGATTCAGCAGCTGGGTTTGCTGGGTGGCGGGTTTTAGCGGCCTCTTTCTCGGTTACCCTTGTGCCTGATTTTAGCCCCTAGATACCCTAGTAAGAACCCCCCTACAAAACAGAAACACTACATAAAGAGACCACCGCGCAATGTAAGGTTTAGGGTTTAGGGTCTAGCCATGGAAGGTGGGCTTTTTGACCGCCTGCCTGCCGGCATTTGAGTCTCTTTCTGTTCTGGTCAAGGAAGGGGAGGGGGGGGGGGGGGGGGCGCCCTAAACCCTAAACCCTAAACCCTAAACCCTAAACCCTAAACCCTAAACCCTAAACCCTAAACCCTAAACCCTAAACCCTAAACCCTAAACCCTAACAGGAAAGCATCTCAAGCACAAGGCAGAAGGGGTCCATCCGGCTGGAGTCATGGTTGTTTAGTGGCTTGGTGTTCGGCGATATACATCTACAAATAGGGCTTTAGGGTTTAGGGTTTAGGGTTTAGGGTTTAGGGTTTACGGTGTAATTATAAAAAACAAGCGTATATGTACGTTCATATTTTTTACAAATATTTAAATCACATGCGTTGTATATTCATACATATGTCTTTATGTGTAGAGGCAACCCCGCGCCCCCCCCCCCCCCCCCCCCCCCAACCCTGCAAACCCCAGCACCATGCCACCGAGGTACAAAGCCAGAGCCAGGGCATCACCTTACTTCTTCAATAAACAAGAATAGGCCCTAAACCTCAAACCCTAATCCCCAAACCCTAAACCCAAAAAGTTAAAAATTCTACTGTTGGCGAAGGAAGTCACTAAAATGGATCAGCCGTGAGTTGTTCCGCAGCGACGGGGGGAACTCCCGGGACACGTCGCTTTGGCCAAAGCCGGCTTTCCTTGCCCAAAGGGCTTTCGGTAAGTTCCATGCCCTGAATCCTACCCTAAACCCTAAACCCTAAACCCTAAGGTTAAGATGTGGCCCGGCAGTGGTTACGTTTAGGGTTTAGGGTTTAGGGTTTAGGGTTTAGGGTTTAGGGTTTAGGGTTTAGGGTTTAGGGTTAGGGTTTAGGGTTTAGCTGAACAGCAGAATCGGCGCTAAAAGGGCTCGCAATCTGGTTAGGCTCGAGAGTCTCGCCCCGAAGAAGCTTCCATAAACGCCTTTGCGACCTTGAAGCCCTAAACCCTATGTTTAGGGTTTATAGGGTTTAGGGTTTAGGTAGGGTTTAGGGTACGGTTTAGGGTTTAGGGTTTAGGGTTTAGGGTTTAGGGTTTAGGGTTTAGGGTTTAGGGTTTAGGGTTTAGGGTTTAGGGTTTAGGGTTTAGGGTCTATGTGCACGGCATGTCGATCAACAAACGGCTAAGCCCAACCAGAGAAATATTCATGTCTACACCCCAACACCCGGAAGCAACCTCTGCGACCCTAAACCCCAAGTGCCTACACCCAAATACCAGGAATCTACCTCTGCGACCCTAAACCCTAAACCCTAAACCCTAAACCCTAAACCCTAAACCCTAAACCCTAAACCCTAAACCCTAAGCCCTAAGCCCTAAACCCTAAACCCTAAACCCTAAACCCTAAACTCGATCCAGCCTGAAACCCTAAGACCTCAGAAGCCCCGAGTTTCTGGGCTGATTTCACGTAGGTGGCAGCTTCCTCGGGCGTCAGCAGGCCTCGTAGGGCAAAGGCGCGGCCAACCTCATGGGTTCTCGTACTACCGTTTAGGGTTTAGGGTTTAGGGCTACTACCCCCCTCTTTTCTACCCCCCCTAGCCTCCCCCCTTACATGACCTGAATTCGGCTTAAGTATCCCTAAATAGCCGTAATTATGGAGGGAACCTAAAGGGCGGTTGTATAGAGGGGGGTAGCAGGGGAACCCATGACAACCTCATGACTCTGGAGCAACAAGGCTCGGGAGGATCGGGGGGCTTCATAAGGTTTAGGGTTTAGGGTTTTTGCAGAAAATAAAAGAACGTAATCCCTCATAAGGAAGAAGCTGTTGTGTTTTTTTTGCGCGGGTGGGGAGGGGGGGGGGGTAGATTCAGAGTTCGGGCCAAACGGAACAATCAAGAGAGTTGGAGGGGCTGAGGATATTTTCAAGGTGCCAGAAGAGTACGCCTCACAGGGATTCGCGAACCCAAACCCTAAGCCCTAAGCCCTAAACCCTACACCCTAAACCCTAAAGCCTAAGCCTCGGAGGGTTGGAGGGTTCAAGGTGGCCCCCCATGAAAGCCAGAGCTGATGCACGATGGGCACTGTGTTCAAGATTGAAGTAGTTTTTGTGAATCGAAAAAGCCCAAAGCAGACCTTCCTGTCCCTACTTTGGTGTAGACCCTGGAACAGAAGTATATACTTTCTAGGTATATGTAGCTAGAGTAGGAAGCCAGGACCAAAAAAAGTATTCAAGTGTAGTACTCCAACCAAGCTGTAGATGTCCGGAAGGAAAAGTAAGGAATAGGTAAACTGCATTCACTGCAGCGCGGGTTTGGGGTTTAGGCTTTGGGGTTTGGGGTGATCTGGGCATCATTGTCAGACGAAAGGCAGGAACGGCTCCTTTTTCACAAACTTGCGAAGACTTCATCTAGAATGTTTCAGACTACGCGAGAAAGAGGCAACCCTAAACACCACATCCGTTTCCGTGTTTGCAGATGCTGTTCTGTCCCAAGTCATCCTTTGTGGGGACTGGATAGCCGAAAGCTTTTGCTGGGCCACTTACAGGGGTCCACGACCGCCTGTTGACTTTGGTCGTCAACTCTCAGCGTGAGCCTCTGAACAATCTTTTTCAACCTGCCAAGAGTAGTAATTATGGCTGACATGAGGCACGCACCCAAGTAGGGGATAAGGTATCACAACACAATGAACATGAAACAAAAACATATATAAGTATGTATATGTGAGTCTTATGTGAGTCGCAAATAATGGATATATGTATAAATGGATCTGCTGAGAGGGTGTGCCTGTCGATGGCCTTTGCTTGCTTCGGAGTCCGTCGCACATTCTGCTCCGCTGCCAGCCTACACCTCTGACACAAAACCCTTCCCCCCTTCCTCTACCATCACACCTCCTTGATTCTTCTGCATATGTATATCAGTTCAATATACATACATAAATAAACGAAAAAACATGTGTATGTATGTGCAATACCTACATGGCTGCGTATGAAACAAACAGAACATTAAAGTTGAATACATACGTAAATACAATATGCGTCAGACATACATATGTCTATGTATATATATATATATACTTGTGATGGACACATGTCCAGGTTCGTCGACTGCACTCGGCATACACGAGTGGTCACTCTGCCTACCGTAGACTGCCAAGCAACACCTGCTCAGGAGATCCTAAACAGCTTATAAACAAGCTAAAACTTCTACAGAGGCATATCCAGATCGAAGGGACAAGAGTTCATCAACCACAGGGTCGTGCATGAACCTTGCAACCAAGGCCACGATGTCTTCGCGAACGATGCCCGCCGTAGCGGAAAACAGCGAGTCAGGGGTCTCCAGCTCCACCTGAAACCCATCACAGCGAAACGTCTCTGAGATGCAGACTGTAATTAGCCTTCAGGGGCGGAAGGGTTTAGGGTTTAGGGTTTAGGGGTAAATCTTATCCACATTTCTGAGGCAAAACTTAACTGCCAAACCGAGGTCTAAGCCGGCCCTCATGCCTCAGGGAGCTGTCTACAAGATGTGGGGCCAGGAAAGCACATGGCCCCAGCAATGTGTACCGCAAATGCCTGCGCCGAACAAAAAGAATGTAACCCTAAACCCTAAACCCTAAACCCTAAACCCTACACCCTACACCCTACACCCTACACCCTTAACCCAGGCAGGGAACATGACGGCTCCGTGCATCGTACACAGAATGCTCGGGGGAGGTCTCCTGCAAGTTCTCGTCGCCTTTCGGGTCATCACCTGTCTGTTCTGATGGCCATGGGCTTTTTATAACAATCTCTGAAGCTGTTGTACTCAGCGGTGCCTGAAAAGTCCTAGAATCCTAAGCTCTGTTGCTACTGGAAACCCTGCTCCCGCTCGCTCTCTCTCTCTCTCTCTCTCTCCCTCTCCCTCTCGCAGGCACTCCCTAAACCCTAAACCCTCAAACCTATGTATGAGGACCCTACCACGACTCTTCACCAGTTCCGTGGCCAGCTTGGTCGCATCTGCCGAAGTCCAGTCCTGGGATATGCCCCCGTACTATACTAACTATAGCTAAGGGACTTATAGCCAAAGTTAGGATCCTCATAACCCAATTTAGGGCCCCTATAACTCTACTGAAACACTAGGGGGACCCTCCTTGTAGGGCTTACGGTCTTGGGTGGGTCCCGAAAACTGGGCTACACCTTTCTTGTTTTTTCTTTTTTTTGGGTGGGTGGGGTTCCTCGAATAAGGAAGATTTTGGCGGGTATACTACCCTAAACCCTAAACCCGAAACCCTAAACCCTAAATGGGGAAATACCCAGAAAGTGTATGCTTGAACCTTGCAGGGGGTTTTGCGCGTTCCGGCCGTCTTGGACCACAAGTCTTACAAGTAAGGACGCCTTTGTTACACCAGCTTTGTGTAAGAGACCTATAACTTATAACTTATAACTTATAACCTTAAGTTATAACCTTACAACTGATAACTTATAACTTATAACCTTAAGCTATAACTTCGTAAACCCACTTTAGGGCCATAATGACTCTACTCTACTTATAACTAGGGGGTCTCTGTTTGTAAGCCAAAACAGTTATGGAATTGAGGGCGTCGGCTCTACTCGCACACGGCGGGCAAAGGCTAGGGTTTAGGGTCTGTAGGTTTTTTCTTACGCCGAACCGAAGTCCACATTGCAGGGACTTCTTACGGCACACTACGCCTACGCAGGACATTCCAGAAGCCTGTCAGCTCACACCTCATCAACCAGGGTTTCTGGTTTAGGGTTTAAGGGTTTAAGGGTTTAGGGTTTAGGGTGAGAGTTTTTTTGGGTTGGTTTAGGAAACCCTACTCCCCTTCGTGGGAGCTAAGTGTCGCGGCCCGGATGTCTCCATTGCGTCACACCTGCCAGGCGCCCGCTTGTCGCGCGAACTCATTCGAGCCGGGGCATCCACCCTACATGGGACAACTTTGGGGTTTAGGGTTTAGGGTTTAGGGCTTATGGTCCATCTACCCTAATTAGTAGGATTACAGGGACGGGCCTCCTAGTTATATTTGATCCTAAGTGAGGTTCTACGTCTTAAAGCTTGGGATATAAGTCCCTGAAGTAAAAGTTCGTGTAATGAAGGGGCCGCTACTTGTACAGGGTACAAGATCCCAAGTGTGGAAGTGGGGTTGAGTTGGTCCCAAGCCCTAAACCCTAAACCCTAAACCCTAAACCCTAAACCCTAAACCCTAAACCCTAAACCCTAAACCCAAAAAGGCTGCTTCGCAAACATCTGCCCAAAACCCACTTCCCCCAGCAAAGGCTTCGGGCCTGTGCTAGGCTGGTGGTAGTAGGCTTCTCCATCCTCGCTATGCGGGTTTGGGGTTTGGGTTTAGGGTTTCGGGTTTATAGGGTTTAGGGCTTAAGGCTGAGGGCTTAGGGCTTAGGGTTTAGGGTTTAGGGGTTAGGGGTTTGGGGGTCGTGGCAGGACGAGAGTCTGCAGCCATCAAGGAGCTCGGGACTCTGATCCCCTGATCAGCAAAAATAACCACAAACAACGGACCCTAGATACCTATTTGACTAGCAAACTCCCCAAAAGCGCTTGATGGTCCGGCCCCTCGCATCCGGCAGTGGATTCAACAAGTATAGCAGTACATGCGAGTGAATCCCTAAACCCTAAACCCTAAACCCTAAACCCTAAACCCTAAACCCTAAACCCTAAACCCTAAACCCTAACAAATCACCGTTCTGGCGAAGACCAACTTCTCAGGCAAGGCACGTCCGCGCGGCATGCGAGCCACCCTCACGTGCAACAGCGCAGGTTCTGCTCCGAAGTAGCCCCGACGCATGTGTAACCATCTCTCACACCTGAAGGGCCTGAAGCACTGACTGGCTTTGGGGTTTTGTGAGTCTCTTGGGCCCGCAATTTACCAAGGACACTGAGCCCAAATCATCGAAAAAACTCTCTCAAAAGGTCTCTGATGGTGGCTTGGTAGCCCAGTAACCACATCCTTACAAGGGCACCCTTTTTTGGGATTGAGGTTACTTGAAAAGGGGACCTTATACCCCAAAAAGAGAAGACGGGTACCCCGGGGCTACCAAGGTGGGTCACAGGTACCAGGCTCATACCCTTTTAAGGACCCTGATGTCCAGAATCATAGCCTATACAAGGAGGGGCACCCTTACTAGACTCACTGAAGTTAAGGGACTTATGACCCAAGTTAGGATCCTCATAACCCAATTTCGGGTTTAAGGCTTTAGGGCTTAGGGTTTCGGTTTCGGGTCTAGGGCTTAGGGCACCGAAAGAACTCACCCCAAAGCCACTGCCCATCAAAGCCAGGCCTTTGGGAAGGCCCTTGGACAGGGCAGTGCGCGCCTGCACAATTACCCTAAACCCTAAACCCGAAACCCGAAACCCTAAACCCTAAACCCCTTCTCCCATCTACCGGAGACGGTGGTGTGGGGGTTTTCAATTCTATCTTGGGAACCAAGTGAACCCTCAAAGGGGTCCATGGCTCATATGCCTCAATAGGGATCTTTGTAGGACAGGGTTTTTTTCGTAGTATAGGGTATATAACCCCCCAATTTTTACGGTGCATGTGGTCCTCAAGGACAAGCCAGGCGAGACACAATCTAGTCACAGTCTGTCTGTGCACTCATTTTGGGGTTGGAATAATTGCTGATCGTTTTCCCTTATGGTACTTGCAAAGTTAGAATAGAATGACACCCAAAACCCTAAACCTTTTATCAGACATCTTGCCACCCATATCTCCAAAACCCTTGAACACCGAACACATGAGTGCTGGCATCTACAAGGAACTGCCTCGGAGGAATGGCCCCTGACAAAGTGTTGCGACCCTAAACCCTTTTTGAGCACGGACTGAGGAAGCTGCCGGCGACCCTAAACCCTCAACCCTCAACCCTAAACCCTGCCTCGTCGGATTCGATGCCGAGTCGCTGCATTACCAGTTGAACTTCCTGTCAGCTCCAGGCTTCGGACTCCCTCCAACTTTCGGTAGGTTTAGGATTTAGGATTTAGGGTTTAGGGTTTAGGGTTTAGGGTTTAGGGTTTAGGGTTTAGTTTTTTCTAGGGTTTAGGGTTTAGGGTTTATAAGGTTTAGAGTTTAGGGTTCACTTGTGGGAAACACATGTCCTAGTGCAGGTGAGGCGGCTGCGCTCACGTCTCCCCTGCTGGCCTCGTAGTCTCTCCCCTCTTTATTAGGGCTTCAGGCTTTGGGGGGTCAAACATGAGCCAACATCTTGCCAGAATGATGCCGGCATAGTCGGTATAGAGAAGTAGTACAAACTATACCCTGACCCCTAACCCCTAACCCCTAACCCCTAAACCCTATACCCTCCATAATGTCTCCATCAATAGGCGCCCAGTCTTTTGGGGGCCCCCTCCCGTCTCCTCCTCCGCAGGCTTCATCCGCACCTCAACAACACCCACAGTCTTCCCCCCCTAAACCCTAAACCCTAAACCCTAAACCCTAAACCCTGCAGGGCGAGGCGAGATCCCTGATATCTTCGGGGCCCTTTAGCAGCCTTGGTGGGCGTCTCGGAACAGTCCCTTGAATCCTAAAGCCTATAAACCCTATAAACCCTATAAACCCTATAAACCCTATAAACCCTATAAACCCTATAAACCCTATAAACCCTATAAACCCTATAAACCCTAAACCAGAAACCCTAAAGCAGCCGTAGTGCATTGTGCGTGGGCTTCGGGGACGTCGGCGCTGGCGCCATGGCGAGCGAGTGCAAAGCCGCGGGGAATCTTCGGCCGAAATGCCTTTGGGACAGGCACTCCACAGAGAAGCCGATACATGGGACTCTATTTGGGGGGCTTTGGGTTTTTTTTGGGGCTTAGGGTTTAGGGTTTAGGGTTTTTTTGCCACCCGCTTAGCTGACCTCTCGGACACTCTGCAGGGGAAAGTCTGGACACTGTGTATACATTCATCCTCGGCTACTTGAAATCGCCATAGTTCTCAGCAAAAACCCCACTTCAGAGTCCCAACAGGTACTTGGATCAACAAAAACAAAAACATGCTCAAACCCACAAGCAATACAAAGGACTACGCCCAAGACAGAAAGCAACCTGCTGCAGGACTCTGATGCTTTGGAGGGGCCACTTATGCTGCATGTAGGTGCACCCCAGCAGGCCTCAAACCTCAAAAATACCAGACATACCACATCCCTCCATGCAGCCAAGCAGCAGGGTACAACTAGACTTGCCAGCCAGGCTTTGCTCAAGCTCATGTACAGTGGCCCTGCAGGTCTAGCACTGCAAAACAAGGTATTGGAGCAGTTCCCACTAGACGGCACCCAAGTCAACAAGTCAGTAGCTAAAACACGCAAGGGCCAACAATCGCCCCCGAACTGCTCCAGCTTAGGGAACGACCTTTCCGGTCCTCCTCTCATCAGTCTCTTAGACAAGCTCCCTTTGCAGCTCATCTTCTTTCTGCCTACCCCATCGTTCAGCATCTGCTCCCAGACCGGTCACCAGCAACCCAACAACCACATCGATCCCAACAATGGCAACCCAGAAACAACCGCAGCAACCCCCACCACATCGATCCACAGCTGAGTTCCTGCTCTCTCAGGGGCAGATGCTCCAGCTCACCACACTGCATCTACAGCCAAACAGCCTAGTGAAACGCCCAGGAAGCACCTAGTCCAAGACTCCTGTCCCGTACACCGCAGCAACCCAACCACCACATCGATCCCAACAGTGATAGAAAGCTACACCCCAGACCACCACCACATGGATCCACAAGATGAGCACACCCAGGTGGAGTCTAGTCAGGTTGGTCACTTCAAAACAGACCCTAGCTGCCAGTCCTAGCAGGGCGCAGGATATGGTAACAAAAACCATCTCATCAAATCCAAAACCAAATTTGAATGGCAGCTGGTCTACGTCTGCACATCATTAGCACGCATACACGCTCAAACCAATCAAAGTTGCCGTCCTCTTCTTCTCTAGCCAAGCGTTGCGCTTCTTTCTCCTCTTGTCGACGGTAAAACTCCTCAATCTTTTCCTCATCGCTGTAGAACGGGAGTTGCTTTCTGATCTTGTACATTTCCCGATGTTCCATGATGTTAGCACTTCCGCGAGAAGCATTCTTGAAAGCCTTCTGCTCTCCAGTTCTGCGTTGCTTCCTGCCGAGGCGGCCTCGCGTATGGCGAGCTTACTTGCCACCATCGATATTGGTGTGCTTGTGCTGTCGCTTCGGCTTGGAGGCGGAATGCGTTTCATCTGTATTCGCTTCGCAGTAGTACAGAGGAAATGGTACAAAATCTGACTCCTCCATTTCCACAACGGAGTCATCGATGAAGGAGTGTTCACCGCATAGTACGCGGATTCGATCGAGAGCGCTGATCGTTGCAGCGTAGTTCTCCGGAAGATACCGGACTTCGCCCAAGACTTTAAACCTCCACGGCGAGGAACAAAGGTGTATCCCGACAATGCGCCAATGTCCGTGCACCATGACGAGCAATGGACTGCCAGAGTCCCCTTTGGATGTCGAAACCGTGTGAGGTTCGAGTCCGGGCACTGCATTGAGTGGCTCTGCCATCGATCCGATTGTACCGGTGGAAGATGTCCCGAAGATTTCCCCTTCAAGGACCTTGGGCGTGGAAAAGATGGTTCCTTTGCCCATCCCACTGACCGTCAGTGTGGCCTGACTTATGCTTTTGCAACCCAAAGCGCACCAGTCAGGAGAGCTTAAGCGGATCGCACAAAGATCATAGCCACTGCAAGAACGGAGTGGAGTTGGTCCGTTTTGAGCAACCTTCTCGAAGATGGCAGTGGAGAAGTCTATTTCTCGTCGGCGCGAACCATCGCAGGATGCCACGAAATAGCGTCCAGGTCTGACAGCAACTCCTTGGAGTGTCTGCACCAGACCAACATGAAACGCTGTGTGTGCGTAGAGTCCCTCTCTGATGGCAAAACCAACGTGAGAGAAGTCCCCGTTGTCTTCGACAAGGATTCGAACGAGCCAATTGGGTACCTGTGTCCAACACGGATTCATCGAATGACTCAGGCGGAGTTCGCTTTCAATGTTCGCCTGCTCCATCACCAAAGTGGTCTCTGGTACTCTTGAGGCGAGTGAACTAGGACGAAGGCGGGGGCCTAAGACGGCGTTGAATGCGTTGGATGTCGTTCCTCCGCCAGGAAAAGGCACTGTGATGGACAAGACCGCAAGCTCAAACACACACACACACAATGAAGAAGGGGGTTTGAAGAATGCGCGAAGACCGATGTCTACCTCGTCATCAGGAACGACGTACGTCCGCGCTAGATCGAAGGTCGACGAGTCAGGACTGGACTCAGCCTTCAACTTCGCCACAAAGCGCAAATTCCAGCTTGCATGGAAAGCTGGAAAACAAGGATGAAATTCACCGCAGCCAGCCAGTGCTTGCGATCGGGTGATTGGAAGGCTCCACCGAAAGATGGTGCCCACAGCACGAGGACAGCATAAGACCGAAAGTCTCACGCGTGCAACGGCGCCGGTCAACGACGCGGTTGAGGCGGTGTCTTGCACTGGCAAAGCAGCTGCACCACCAACAGCCATAAAGACAGGCATGGCTTGTGAGTACGGCTAAAGCGCGATGTTCTTGTTGTAGGCGCGAACGCAAAGCCCTGAGATTGATCAGGACTGAAGCTCTAACGTGGCTGGACAGCGGCGTGACCGAGCATCAACATAGATTTCTAATATGGTTTAGGGTTTAGGGTTAGGGTTTAGGGTTTAGGGTTTAGGGTTTAGGGTTTCCCCATGTACCTACAGTTTAGTAGTAGTTACCCTTTTCTTAGCAGGTAAACCCCGAAAACTGCAGGTAAAGAGGGTCCCAGGTAGGCCCCCTCCATCCCACAAGCTCACCTGCAGGCACTCTCAGCCACCACCAAGTTGCTCTTGTTCTCTTTCTGCCTCTCGCTCTCGCTCTCTGTTTTCGTTCCTCTCTCTCATACGTATAAATCTGAATAAGTGTATACATGTACCTATGTAGACATGCTTACCATTATCGAGAGGCGTTCGAGCATGAACATAGGGGGCTGACCTACCGTGTAGTCAATACGAATAACACTCAGGGCCCATAGCGTAGGCCTCGACCGGCATGAACCATCGATTCAATGGAGCCCACGGATTACCCTAAACCCTAAACCCTAAAGAAACTCTAAACCCTAATTCTTGGTAGCCCAGGTGACCATATTCGAATAAGGGCACCCTTTTTCGGCTTGGCTACTCTACTACTTTATAAAGGGAACCCATAACAAACAAAACGGATAAAGGGTAGCACGGGGCCACCAAGAAACCCGAAACCCCAAACACAGGTGGAAGGTTTACGAAAATTTGGGCCCCCTAAGATAGTCCCCCCAAGCAGTAGGGTTCCTGATAATAAAGAACCCCCCAATAAGGTACCCCCAATACTACGAATCACTTAAGAACTCCGGAAAATAAAAAATCTTCCTTATTAAGGGAAATATACGGCTTATTATGTTTTTTTTTCTTCTTTTGGGGTTCTTATAAGCAATAGCAAATAGTAGATATCGTAAACCCCCAGGTTAGGTTGCGGCCTGACTCGCAAAGTGGCCTTCCGCCACCTCCTCCCGCAGGAAGGCATCAATTCTCTGAGCTGCCTGTCACGAGCCAAGTCAGACTCAATTCCCTTGCGCAACTCTGAACTCTGAACCCTAAACCCTAAACTTTTTTCAACCCTAAACCCTACACCTTTTTCGCACAAGGGCTCTCTCAAGTGCCTGGTTGCAGACTTTGCGCACATGTGGTGCCCCAGTCGAACCCTAAACCCTAAACCCTAAACCCTAAACCCTAAACCCTCAACCCTAAACCCAATTGCCCATGTTCAAGGCCCATCTGCCCCCCCTACCGAGACCTCTTGCCCTCCAATTCCCTTGTGCAACTCGTCGTCGAAGACCCGCGCCGCTACGCACATCAGAGCGCCCAATGCCCAGACATTTCAACTCGGGAACATGCCCTTTATTTGGGTCTAGGGTCTAGGGCTTAGTGTTTAGGGTTAAGGGTATATTTGACCTTAAGCCCTACACCTATCAACGCATCTAACTTGGCTGACTTGTGAACCCCTCCTAGATTTTTAACTTTTGGGCTCCTTATTGAAGTTGTTAAGAGGCGCCTGCTTGGCGCCATTGTTGTCACGCAGCTCTTCCTCAGCTGCAAGGAGAGTGCCCCAAAACGACTGAAATGAACTCTGCAAGGGTTTACGGCGGGATTATCGTACAAGGAGGGGCCCCCTTATTATACTAACTGTAGCCACGGGCCTTCGAACTTAAGTTGGGATCCTCAGAACTCAATTTAGCATCCCCTGTAACACTACATACTGCTAACTAGGGGCGGGGGGCCCTGCTTGAAGTAGATGGTCCCAGTGTGAAGGCCCAGCTGGTCCCAGGGTTTAGGTTGCATTCATGCATTTACATGGTTGGAAAGAAACCCTGAACCCCAAACCCTAAGCCCTAGGAACCAGCGGCGGCATCTTAGGCGGGAACTTCCTCATCGGGAGACACAGATGTCAGCTCTTTCATCCTACTTTAAAACCTGTATAGGGTTCAGGGTTAATTAACCATGGTTTAGCTAGGACAACTAGGATCTTAAGGAACGGAGAAACAAAGTAAGGGGAAATACCCACACTTTAGTTCAGATCCAAAAATCCCCTACTAGTATATTGGGGGCCATTAGTATGGTAAGTGTTGTTAAGCGGTCATGACCCTATTGGGG